CCAAGGAAGCACAAAACCCCAAGTTCTAGGTCTATCTCCTTATATTCCGGCTCCCGTACCCTCATCAGTCTTAGACCCGTCAGTAGTAATATTCTTTCAATCTGAACTAAACTGAATCGTTTTTTCGAATGAAGTTCATTATATACAATGCATGTCAACTGATTTGGTTCAGTTCAAGTGAAATGTGTCAGTTAGTTCAGAATCAAAGAATATCACTAATGAACCACACTATAATGTGCCTCCCTGACAGTCAGTCAAGAACATTTCATATAGTAGAAGATCCGAACCTAAATCGACCTTCACCGAGCTGATAATAGAACGAAATATATTTTATCATGAATTTAGTATATTAGAAAACATATTAAAAATGGGTTGGCTAAGAAAATCCCTGGGCAGACTATTTTTAATTATTTTTCGAAAAATTGTTTTTAATTCAATGTTGCAACATCAGGATAATAAAAAAATTGTGTCCCTGACTGAAAGTATAAAACGTATAGAATGTGCAGCCGTTGGGTTGTCTACTATTTACCTGGGCGAACTACTGGGTTGTCAGGTAAACACAGGTATATCGATGCCAGTTACTTTCACTGGATTGGATAATTTAAAAAAATTTTATATCATCATAAGCGCTGTTTAATTGCGAACACGTGATATAGGGTTGTCTGCGAAAATTCCGGTCCTATTAGGGTTTGCGAATTTTAAAGATTTTAATTTCAACGCGCGTGGAAGTGTGTGACAGAGAGATCCGAGGTAAGTATACTGTGTAATAATAAAGGACCCAACATTGCAGTCGCTTGTGATGGGACCCTGAATAGTAGAAAGTGCGCATGCTCGGTGTGTAAAACTATGGAGGGTAGAGGTACCTCTACTAACCTTCATATAGTAAACAGTGCGTGTTATTTTGGAGCAACTGATATTTCAGTAGCAAAAAAAAATAATTAATTAATTACATAATAATTAAATATATTTAATATAATACTAATATATAAAAACAATATAATATCAATATATTGCGTTATAACCATAATGATATATCTATAATCTATAATAGACAATAAAAATATCAATTACTTACTTCGAAATTTTTTTGCTCTTTCTGGAAATAGAAACAAAGTGGACCGCCAAAAATTTAAATTAAGAAATAACAAAGAAGATAGACTAGACATCTTGTATTACGATTTAAAATTTTATTAAAAAACAGTATAAATACAAAAATAATATTAATGAAAAATAAATTCTAATAAATATTTTCTATTCAATATCTGATTCATCAGAAGTATCATTTTGACTCTCGAATTCGTCTGATTCATTAGATTCTTCCTCATTTGCTTCCATTTCGACAATGTCCTGGATTTTCAAAGGAGTTTGATCTCCGATAAAAACCTGTTGGTTTTAAGAAATCATCAAAATGCCAACCATAGTTTTCAGGATTTGACTTCGCACACTTCGCACACTTTCTACTATTCAGGGTCCCATCACAAGCGACTGCGATGTTGGGTCCTTTATTATTACAGAGTATACTTACCTCGGATCTCTCTGTCACACACTTCCACGCGCGTTGAAATTAAAATCTTTAAAATTTGCAAACCCCTAATAATTAAAAATAGTCTGCCCAGGATTTTTTTAGCCAACCCATTTTTAATATGTTTTTCTCATATACTAAATTCATGATAAAATATATTTCGTTCTATTATCAGCTCGGTGAAGGTCGATTTAGGTTCGGATCTTAGACTAATACCAGTAGAGCTGAGTGTTAAAGGGCCAGTAATAGTTATTTCTGGGTAGCATTTTGTCACTTGTCACTTCCCATTGCCATTAGTTGGCATCCAGTTACAGAGCACACCATGCTTGATATAAAATATTGTATTTGAGAAGGAAATTCAAGTCATCAAATTTCGTCCCGTCCTATATATTATTTCCTTCATTACAATGAAAAATGTTTGTATATGTCTGCATGCTTGTGGCTTGTATGAATACACAACTCTACTATCGCCTTGCTGATGGTAATTGGTACAAAGATTCCATATCACTTCTGTTGTAAATAGTAAATATCATCTATTATTGCACTAAAATTTTCCAATATTTTCATTTTTCTCAGACACAGATTAATAACTTTGTTTCAAAACAATTCAATGTTCAATAAAGTGTCAATAATTTGAGATCCAAAAGAATTTTCCAGCATGAAATTTTTCTAATCTTATTCAGTGTATGTGTGATATGCTTGTGAATATGACTCATTTTTAAACTCTTAATACACTGGATTACCTTCAAGGTTCATAATTGGGATACTGATGGGTTATTCAATAAATCTTATTATTCACCTTATTCCTGGTTATTTATACAGGGTGGCCCAAAATTAGCCTTCCAAACTGCAACCTGTATTATACACTCCTAAATCAATTTTTTTAATCATTTTATTTTCACTGCATTTGGCATAGAAAGTTTAGTTCTTGTACAATGTTCTTAGTTTTTTTAGCCATGAGGAATGGATGCCAAGACAAAATATTGAAACATATCATTATTTCACAAGTGATGAAATTTCCTACAAAGTTCTTCAGAATTTAGGTGTTGCCAGAGGTTTTGCAAAACATATGCTGCTGTTGAGATGTTTTCCAAAATATTTTTCAATTCAAAACAAAAATTCTTCATTGCTTACATCAATATATTTGCATGAATATAAATGATAGTAATAATATTCACAAAGTCCAAACATCAATAGATTAAATAAAATAATAGTAATAATACTAGGCATATTATAATAAATCTAGAAATACCCAAACCAAAGTTGCAATAATTTGTAGATTTATGCAAAAATACTGAATCTTAAGTAATTAACTTAAGTATTTAGCTGACTTTTCAAATTACCTTGAACAATTTCAAATTATCAGTTTACATAAACAAAGATAAATTATTAAAATAATTATTTAGACTTAATTGCAATATTTTTGTGTCTCTCTCTAACTCCATTTGGAAATACTGAAATTAGAGAGAAAAATTGTGCACAATTTACAGACATGCATTGATTGACTCTACAAAATCTCATAAATAAATCAAGATAAGTAGCTGATTTTTAAGCTACAGCTTTTGCCTCTTCCTTTTTAGCCACTCCTCCCAAAAGTTTTTTAATCTCAGCTATGGCCCTACCAGGATTAAGACCCTGTAAAAATCATGACATCATGAAGATGCTAAGTATATGAATGAAAAATGGATATTCATAAATATTACAGCATTAGTAAAATTGATGAAATAATATTATTCAACATACCTTTGGACATGTTTTGGTGCAATTCATGATTGTATGACAACGATAAACAGAGAAAGGATCTCTCAAGTTATCAAGACGCTGAGCTGTTGCTGCATCTTTTGGATCAATTATCCACCTGTAGGCCTGCAACAAAATCATAATTTAGTCCAAAATTCAAACACCTCAAGAATAATCACAACATACTTGCATTAGCACTGCAGGTCCCAAGTATTTTTCCCCATTCCACCAGTAACTGGGACAGGCAGTGGAACAGCAGGCACACAAGATACATTCATAGAGGCCATCTAGCCTCTGCCTCTCCTCTATACTTTGGATGTCCTGCTGGAGAGCACCACCAGTTTGCTTTTGCTTGCTGTCCCTGTAGAACAATGAGAAATTGCAAAATAGTGAAGAAAACTGATTCCTTCTGAGCTTACTTTCTCTGTAACCAAGGCTGGATGGATTTGTACTGTCTGTAGAAGTTATTCATATCTGGAACTAGATCTTTCACAACATACATATGAGGCAGGGGATAAATTTTTGTTGCTTTTCCACTTGAGGCATCAATTTTACTGCAAAATCAAGTAACACACAAAATGACATTACTCTAGAGCTAAAAGATCCATTACCTTATGCATGCCAAAGTATTGACACCACCAATATTCATTGCACAAGAACCACATATTCCTTCACGGCATGATCTTCTGAAAGTCAAGGTCGTGTCTACATCGTTTTTTATTTTTATTAGGGCATCCAGGACCATAGGTCCACAAGTATTCAAATCTATAGTGTATTCTTGCATGTAGGGCTTCTTGTCAGGCTCATCTGGATTCCATCTATATACTGCAAATGTCTTATTGCGAGGTGCTTTTTTGGTTTCTGCTACTGCAGCAAATGCTGCGGGCGTAACATGGATGTTACGTGCCTGTAGCTTTTAATAAAAAAAATTGAATTATATAACAACTGTGGGTACTACATATTTCATTTATTAAGCAACTCACCCCAGTAAGAACGCCTTTGCATACTTTGAACAGTTGCATTTCTCTCGACATTGTTCTGGTAATGTTTCGTACACCAGCGTACTATTTTAAAATTTTCCGTCTGGAATTTTTTCTAGGAAAACCAAATATGCCACAATAAAAAATTCCAGATTTATTACCAAAAACTACAATTTGACATTTGGTTAGCAGGGATGCAAACTTTGAAAAATGAAAGTGTCTCGGTTGTGGTTGCCGCTTGGCGAGGCTGTGTCGCAAGAATTAAAATAACCATGACTTCCGGAATATATTGACACCAGTATTGGCATCAATAAATTATTCAACGATTTCTGTGATGTACAATTGTACAAACCTAAGGAGTATAGGAATCATTGAGATGACAGCGAATTCATATGAGCCTCTATAGGATCAAAAAAAAATAATTAGGAAATGTTTTCTGTGGCCAGATTTTCAACTAGGTATATTTCTAATGAGAGGTCAGCAGTTCGTAAACCATATTTCAACAAAAATAATATGATCATGTGCTCTGTAACTGGTGATCCAACAAGAGTGACGACTGACGAGGAATTGTTTATTGTATCTCAAAAACTATAATATATTTCATGCTATAATTTATGAAACACGACCCTGACCGTTACCATGATGGTAACGCCCTTACGAGGGCGGTGAGGACAATTCATTTTATCCATGAGATCTTCCTTTCTTGAACTAGACCTTGTTATTGCAAAATTGGTAGTTCCTGAGATCTCAGAGATACAGAATTTTTGTGTTTCCGACGGGTCGGCAATCTAAGCACTTCTCTCTCGAATGACTAGTGACAGTAGTGACCGTCCCCTCTCTTTTCATTGACATTCAAGAATTTCAAGGAGCAAAAGTATAAACAAAAACAATAATATTTGGTTAGAAAATTTGAGAAAATATGACTTCAAAGAAAAAGGTACTGTGAATATTCTGATACTTTGAATATCAGTTTTTCACTACATAGATTTCTTCACAATTCTTTTCAGAATGTCACTTCTACTGAGTCAAGTTCTGGTTCAACATCAGGATCCTCATCTTCTAGTACTAGTTCTAGTGGCTCAGAATCTAGTTCCTCCAGTGAAAGTGAATCGTCCTCTTCCCAAGAATCTTCCAAACAGCAGTCGGGCTCAGAGGCTACTAAAAAAACCGCCCCTATTGTGAAAAATGCCCGCAAAAGTACTGAAAACAAATCAGGAACAGCTGCAAACAAGACTTCAGAAAAGAATGCTTTAAAAAGTAAGATGTCCCTAGGAAAAAATGTGAAACCTCAAAATAAAGCTATCTATAATAGTACTGATGAAGATGATGATGGAAAAAAAACCTCAGCTAAGAGAAAAAGTAATGTTAAACCAAAAAGTAGTGCTACTATAACTCCCAAACCCACAGCTACTGTTCCTACAAAATCAACAGGTACTGCCAAACCTTCTGCAAAAGCTAGTGCTCTTCCTAAACTAGTCAACAAAGGTAAAGAACCTCCAAAGGCAAGAGCACGTAAAGCTCCTGCCAAACAAACTGATGCTAACAAGAAGAAAAGTATTTTTTCACCAGAAAATAGCTCTGAATCAGACTCTTCTAAAGCAGTGAAGTCACAAAGTAAACAAAATCAGGTCAAACCAAAAACAAAGCCTGAACCCAGGGCTAAAGCTGCTCCAAAAGTTGTGCAGAAGCCTAAAACTGAAAAGAAAGTAGATAAGACTCCTCCAAAGTCTAAGGAAAATTTGAAGGAAACTATAGGTAAGTTTTATACAAGGGGTAAACTGCAGTCAAAATTGTTCACACCAAACATCAATTCCACAAGGAATTCCAAGGAATCCCAAGGAATTCTTGTTGTTTGTACACCAGAATTGTACCACACTTCACACAAGGAATTCCAGGGAATTCCAAGGATATCCAAGTAAATTCATGGAATTCCAAGGAAATTCAAGGAATTCCAAGAAAATCCAAGGAATTCCAAGGAAATTCAAGAAGTTTCAAGGAAATCCAAGGAATTCCTAGGAATTCCAAGGAATTCCAGTTGTTTTCACACCAGAATTATATCACACTTCACTCAAAGAATTCCAAGGAAATCCAAAGAATTCCACGGAATTCCAAGGAACTCTAAGGAAATCCAAGGAATTCCAGTTGTTTGTAGCCCAGGAATATACTGCATTTCACCCAAGGTATTCCAGGGAATTCCAGAGAATTCCAAGGAAATCCAACAAGGAATTCCAAGGAAATCAAAAGAATTCCAAGGAATTTCAATGAATTCCAGGGAATTCCAATTCCCCTTTTGTGAAAATCCCTTGAAAAATCCACTGGTCTTTACAGAAAAAAAAGGTGCTATTGTTCCATATCATTCAGATCTCGATTCAGATGTACCATTTTCGAGACCATTTTTGAGAAAACTAGATTTGAGAATATTGTACAATCTCAAAAACCTTAGATTAGTATTTTAGGTTTCTAATTAGGCCATTGTATCACATATGGAAAAAAACATGGTTCCATTCTTCTGAGAGCACTACTCCATCAAAACAAGGACTGTTGCTTTTCCATAGTGCATGATAAATTTGAAAAAAACTGATATAAAACCACTGTTTATACCTTACTCTTAAAGGCAACACCCTCCTTTGTAGAGAGGCATTACGAACGCCAAAGTTGATACACTCCCCTCGTAAGGGTACCTGACGTGATTCCATACACTCACATAATTGAATGTTGACTAATTATTCCACTGATAAAATGAATAATTTAGTGAATGGATAAAAGCCACTGTTCTACAAAGGAAGAAGACTAGAACTTTGATTTGTATTTATGGAAAGACTTTAACACTTATCTTAAAAATCTCATTTCATTCATCTATCTGGTATGACATTCCTAGATCTAGAGTTTTGAAGTGTACTGTCGTACAAATGAAAATGAATTTTTTGCAAATCCAGGATTATGAATTCTGAGACATCAGAGATGGATTGCATCATTCCAGGAATATCCTAAAAACAAACTCCATGTGTATTACTTTTTGTTGATTGCTCCATATATTATTCACTTCATCTATCTGTTCCAAAGTGGATAGTCCTGCAAACGACTATGAAAATTTCCCTAGATTCTGATGAATCTGCAATAATTTTCATTGTTCCTGGAATATCCTGAAAAAAAAAAACCTTGGATTAGTATAATTTGTTTCCAATTTTGCCATATATCACATTGTATCACATATGGAAGAAAACATGGTTCCACTCTTCTGAGAGCACTGCTCCATTAAAACAACGACTGTTGCTTTTCCATAGTGCATGATAAATTTGGAAAAAACTGGTATAAAACCACTGTTTATACCTAACTCTTGAAGGCGACACCCTCCTTTGTAGAGAGGCATTACGAACGCCAAAGTTGATACTCTCCCCTCGTAAGGGTACCTGACGTGATTCCATACACTCACATAATTGAATGTCGACCAATTATTCGACTGATGAAATGAATTTAGTGAATCGATAAAAGCCGCTTTTTTACGAAGGAATGTTCGAAGAAGAATGGAACTATGATTTGTATTTATGGAAAGACTAACGTTCATGAAAACTTAGCTTAAGGTTCATGTAAACCCACGTGAAAAAAAACGGCAAGTTCAAAAATTTTGAAAAAAATCTGGTATATCAAGGTTTTTAATTGAAAACTTCTGTGAGATTTTGATGAAAATCTATCGAACGAATTTTGAGAAAAAAAATTAAAACTCCTTTTTTTATAGGTTTTTTTTAGTTTTCACAAAAACTGTTCGATGAATTTTTGTCAAAATCTCACAGCAGTTTTTAACAAAGAATTAAAATATGCCTGATTTTTTTGAAAATTTTTGAACTTACAGTTTTCCTACAATAGTGAATTAATCATTGAAAGTTGCTGTAAAATCTATATTATTCGAAAAATATGATATATTTTGATTATTCATGTAAGATGTAACGAATACGGATTACTTGAATCCTATTTCAGTCATAAACAATGATTTATTCGATATTAAAATAGGGTTTTCAAAACCCCTTACCAAATTCCTCTCAAATAGATTAATCGCTCCAGCAGGTGCTGCCTCTGCTGGTAATAGTCATAATCTAAAGTAGTTTCGCTACTGTCCACGAGTATCGCATAAAATGTCTGACCATCATAATATTTGTCGTACAGCGTTGCCAATACGCCTAGACAAAGACAACCGATAAATGCTGATTGTTTCTAGCAAATCCTTCAGAAAATCGTCTATGGACACATTTTCCCTTTTCGACTTGTGAATATTTAATACATTCGCGGGCCTAATGAAGGGGGGGATGGGTCGTGTTGAATTATTTCATATTCATATGAAGATTAAGTCAATTCAGTTGATTATTGTGATGAACAATGAATGCTTCGCAGATGAAATTTTTTATTAATAAAGAAAATGCCTTTCGAATCAGAAGTTTGGTTTTTCGGACATGCATCATGCACTTCATGTACCGGGAAGTGAAAATTCCATCCGAAATAATAACTTTTTTGTTGACGATAGAAATATATATATCTTCATCTTCATTGTGTCATCAACTTGCTCATGGAAGTGCCCCAAATGTTAGGGGCCTCTTCAGATTTTTATTATCCACCATAATGCCCATCTATGGAGGTTTTCATGGTTATTCCTCTAGAAAACAACTAACCATTTAACTTTCTTGTTTTTCAATTCTCTACGGTTATTATAAAAAAATTTCCATCTTCATGTAAACTATCTCTATGGTAAGGATTCCTCTTGTTACTTAATTAATTTTTCTCATTGTATATAGGACTATGTAATTTCTTATTAGGCTGATGATGGACATTATGTATGCTCCCTTGATGTGATTATTCACAATGAGCATTTGGTTGAGCATTTTTCTCAAAAATATGTAATTTCTGGTTTTAAGCCTAGCAGCACCTCGATTTCCTAGAAGTGGTTTGAATTCCACGTAGGTCTCGCTCACCATAACCCCACACAAGTTTCGACTTCTGGGGTGTTGATTCCCATCGAAGTAGCGATATAAAATTTTTATAAAATCATATAAAACATTAAAAATTAACAATAAAACGAATATGTATTGAGAAGGTACAATATTTTCTGATCGATTTTCCTCGAATATGATACATCTCTGATTGATTCGGAACAAGAGCAAATCTTGGAATGGTTTATTTTCACTGCATTGGGCATGAAAAGCTCGATGGAAAGTTCAGTTCTTGTACCGAATTGCATTATTATATCACATGGCGTTTCGGAAATATTCAAGAAATATCATATTTAGAACCCCCCTTCCAGGGGGCTGTAGCTCCCTCATATAAGAGACATGTATGTTCATCTGAACTTTTCTTCCTATTTTTGGTCGTAGAAGCCGGTGATGAAGTTCAACAGGCTAATTTCGAGATGTGGGTATATGTGTTTTTTCTATAGTGAGTTTTTAGTGCTGAATATGAATGATATATCAATGAACATCGGATTTGAAAAGGTTTGAATATTTCCAGCAATATGTTTAATAGTCCCAAGACACTCTCGGAAATTTTCTATATTTCCATTTCCATGGCAATATTTCCAATGGAAATATTTCCATTTAAATCACCAATGATATATAATAGTGATGATATAAATATTTCCGAAATAAGGCGATTCTCATCAAGAACAGGATCTTTATTAAACCAGACCCCTCCTCTATTCTATAGGTATATAACTCAACTATTATATAGTCTTACGATTTTCACCAAATTCTGATCGGTATCAATAATCATCAATATGATCAGTTTTTCAGAGATGAACATTCTTTTGAACATTTGAACCTTTCAATGGAAATGAAAAGAGGTTGATATTTTATGAAATCATATTAGGATTTTTTGCAGGTAAACTAACTTCATAGTATTGCTCCTCATGTTTTCTGCCTCGAAAAATACTGAGTTTGAATCAACTGCAAATTCTGAAACGTTCAATGATGATTTGAGACAAAAAACCAGGATATACTTTCATTTTTGTACTCTCTGTTTCCGGGTAAATAATAATTCACGCGCGTTCAAAAACCAAAAACAGTCTGTATATGTTTATTATGTTTAGATCTGCCTGTTCCTTTGAAACCTTTTATAGAAATTATATGAAAATATTCATATGAAGGTTTGAAACCATTTTCATTTCAATAAAAATACACGGCACTGTCCAAAATGATGATTGTCTTAGAAAAATTGATCATATTGTTGGTTATTCAGTATAGTTATTCATACCGGTCCAAATTTGGTAAAAATCGTAAGACTAATAGCTGATATATAAAGGAGAAACCGTTTGAAGTGGGACAGGCTGTATAGAATCATCTTGTTACACCTCGTTGGCTGAGTAATGTAATCAGGAATTCAGCTATATACCTATGTAATTTTCAGGGCTGATTTATGACTTTTCGCGAAAGTAAGTCGAATATCATGATAAGTGAATGACTCATCTTCTGAAGCCTCATTATGATTATTTTTATGCCCGTTACCACCGAACATGAACATACATAGTATGGTAAAATGATAGAATTTTGATTCAAAGACATATGAGTTCTTAGAAAATTACTTATGTGTGCTTCTTTACATTTCTCGGGATGGAGTTGTATGGAATTGGCATACCTAAGTATTCCTTTCATGTCTATAAACTATCGACTAGCTCTACTGCGTAATGATTCTAGTGATTCACACGAGACCAACGAGACGAGACTTTCATAAAGTCTCGTCTCGTCTCGCCGATGGAATATCAAGTCTTGTCTCGA